TTCTTTCAAAATAATTTGTTAATGTGTTTTAAAATGAGGGTTAAATATTTGATCTCATTTTTGCATATTATTTTTTATTTAAAAATATAATAGACAAATGAGTATTTTTACTATATTTTAAAGAAAATTTTGGAGAGAGGTCATAACTAGGAATAATTTATGTTAATTTGAGAATAAGAATACGGTGAAAAAGATTGAGATATAAATGTGGTAATATATAAAGATTATAAATCTTTCATATAATTAAAATGCAGTTTAATTATTAAGCCCCTCTTTGAAACCATTAAAACAAAATTCTTTTTCGTCTCTCATTTTCAACCATAATTTTATGATAAAATATTTTGCACGTAAATTCAATTTTTTTTTCAAACTTTTTAACCGCACATTTTTCAAAAAATCACTACTTCAAAATTTATTTTTCCCAAAAAAAAAAATGACTATTAATGGTTGTTAGGCAAAAACAGTGATGTGAACATATTTAGCCAAAATTAATTTGGGGAACTTACACAAATACTCTTTTTTTTAGGGTCATTTTGAAAAATCATGATAAACATGTATTAAAAAGCAAAAATTGTAAATTTAAACCAATAAACTGTAGAGATTACGGTAATTTCAAAATGAAAAATCAATTCCAGCAGTTCCAAAATTCCAACTTCTCCAAGTTCCAAATCAAGCAAAATCTAAGACCAAACAAGATTAAGAGTTGTTTCAACTACATCTTCTTTAAAGTTTAATTCACCAATTCTATAAATAATCAATCGAAATCTCCAGGTTTATATTATTTTTGATTTTTGATTCACTGTGTCTTATTTTGGTTGATTTTGATGTTGTTTAGGTTTTTATGTTTAATATGTTGAGATTTACAGTTTGTTTGTTTTTTATTCAATATGTTCAATCTAATAGGTACACTGTTTGTAAAAATCAGCCTTCAATCTAAAAAGATCAAAGGTGTTTGAAATTAACATCTAAAGCACGACGGGTATTTCAGTGTGATTGGAAGCATGTTTGAAAATAACATGGTTGAACTTGAGAGAAAATTGATTGTGTTAAGACCTATGAAAAGTTAGCTTTGAATCTATTAAAATTTTGCACGTAAGGTGTTTGATAAAAGGAGAATGTGAAAAAGTGAGTCTATTACTTTTCTATGAAAAAGTGATGTTTTGTCATTTTTTATTGCAACAATTAACTAGATGCATATGTGTATATTTTTAGAAATTTGAACATTCGAAATCATACCTTGTTTATGTATACACATGAAAATTTAGCTTTGAATTAATTAAATTGATGCATGTAAGGTGTTTGCTCAAAAGTAGAATGTGAAAAAGTAACATTCCGTTACTTTTCTTAAAAAAAGTCAAAAGTATTTCACTGGAGCAATTGATGAGATACATATGTGTGCATTTTTGGAAATTTAAATAAACGAATCCAAACCTTGTTTTATATTAATACATACGAAAAAATAAATTTGAATCAATTCAATAGATGCATAAAAGTTGTTTGTGAAAAGAATGTAAAAAAGTGACATTCAAAATTCAAAATAGCTTATTGGAGCAATTAATTAGATACATATGTTTGTATTTTTGGAAATTTAAATAAACGAATTCAAACATTGTTTATGTTTATACATATGCAAAATTAATTTTGAATCAATTCAATAGATGCAAGCAAAGTGGTT